GCCATCTCCAGATGTGCTGCCGCATTTTCCTTTCTCCAGCGTGGGACTGTAGTCGAGTGTTGCGGGTGCCGTGGGGCATTGTTTGCACTGGTGGGCTTTTTTTTCCTCCAGCCAAAGGGAGCTCCATCAGGCACCATGTCTTACCCTCCACCGTCCAGCCTAGCACAGGCTAATGCGAATTCTCAGGAAATCACACCGCCACTCACTCACAGGCATTTATTTACTTGGCTCTTCTCTCGAAATTGATCCAAAGTTTGTTATGTAATAAATACTGTACCCCAGAGTCCACACTGGGTAGAAGTGTGGCCCCACCCACATGCTCGCCGTGTGACCCAGGACATGTCACCAGAACTCCCTACACTTCACTCCCCACGTCTGTTCAGTTACGGCCGATGTCCCACTTCAGACAGCTGTTAGGATGGGGTGTAAAGTGACCCTTTAAAGGCACCCAGTACATGTCTGCTGGTCGCCTCTGCCTGTCGCTGTTGTTTGTGGTGTTTGGTCACCGTTGTCGTTACTGATGCAGTTACAGAAAGTGCACGCGTGCCTGCCTTCTGTCTGATCGTAATAGCTGGTCCTGTTAATACCAGAATACTTCCTGTGTAGAAAACTCATTGCCTGCTAGTGGCTGTGCCAGCCTGATACCTGATAGAGAAAAACAGAGCTTTGTCTGCCTCACAGGCATTTCAAAATTAAGTTTACATGACAGCGCCGCCTATAGCATGTCTTTCTAGTAAAACTGCACATGACTGGCAGGCCAAACTGCATGTGTGTCAGGCCTCCTGAGAAAATGACGCCATGGCCAGGAGATGAAAGTGTAGAGGTCCTGGTTGTTCATTTGTGTTAAATGCGCACCTTTAGGTATCTTAGAACAAGGATGGCAAGCGGACTCCACCACGAGGATGGTCATGCCCAAGAAGCCAGGTAGGTGGCGCCCTTCCCCGTGCGCAGCCTTGGCCGCTTTAGTTTCAGACCCTGACTGAGTCATTCGATAAGAAATTCTGCTGTCCTAGCAAAATGAAAATAACTCGTAAATACAGAACGATAGGCACTCAGGGTTCAGAGGATCTGAAAGGTCACTTAGTTTTACCTTAATTATTAAAAATGTATTTTTTGTAAAAAAACTTTTATGTGGGTGTTTCATAATTCCTGTTATCACTTAACTTTTACTAAGTATTCGTCTCCCGTTCTTTGGTTTACGGGCCTGATTCTGTTTGTCCTTAATATCTAAACGGCTGCCTGAAAAGTTACATAACTCAGACGTTCCCTTTCCTCTTGTGCTGTAGACACGTAGACCCTTCTAAGCGAGACTCGGTTCCACCTTCACGCAGTCGATTTACTTGGTCTTCCTCCTAAGGCTTAAGTTGGGCGGGCTGGCTGTGCTGTCTCAGTCTGAGCTCCCAGCCCCTTGCCTTCCTCTCTGCATGGGCCCAGCCCATCCTGGCTGGTCTTCTCCTGGCCAGGGGCTCCTTCTGCCAGGGGCTGAGAGCCGGGCTCAGTGCCCACCCCAGAGCCTTTCGATCTGCTCAGCACTGAGCTCCTGTTGTTGGACATTGCTCCCCCACCGTTGGGTGTTGCACAGATCTCGGGGTGCTCAGCCCTGCGAGGGTGCAGAGTGGGAAGGCAGGGCCAGTGATCCAGTTGAGGAAGCTACTCAAGTAGAGCACTGCGTTACCTCTGCTGAGAAACAAGTGGTCGTAATGCATGTTGCCTTAAAAACGCATGATGTGTGTGAAAACTCTGCAACGACTCTAAGTGGAGTTTAAATTTTGCTTATCTAGTTGCAGGCGCCCTGGATGTTTCCTTTAACAGGTTTATTCCTCTATCAGGTATGTGTTTTATGCTCATTTAAAATACGTTTCATTCTTAATTTTTTTTTTTTAGTTTGTATCTTTTTTTAGTTTTAACCTGTAAAGAGATTAAATTTTTTACTTGGTGTTTATAATAATACACCTGGTTGCAAAAGTGAACGTGGGGGCTCCCCTGTGGAGCTCACCTTGAGCACTAGCACCCTGTGGTCCGGCCATGCAGCCTCCTTAGTGTCAGGTGCGGGAGCTGGGATCGGGCCTCAGCAGCTTCCCGCTGACGGGTGCCACCTGCCATCCCAGAGGGACCCTGACAGTGGGGCCTGCAGTTCTGTCCATGGACAGGGTGATGTCCTCCCAGAGCGGTGCCTGCCGCTGGGAAAGCGCTTGGTGATCTGTCTGTAGAATCACCTGTCACAGGTGGGGGTCTCCCAGGGAGAGCAGTGTTCTCTTCAAAGGGATGTCACCCGTTAGCTCAGTAACAGCAAACAATGAGGTTCTACGCCCAGTGTGGGAAAACTTGTAAAACTTGGAGATTTCTTGGCTTGTTTTTCAAAAATGTGCAAAATTGTAAAATTTGGTAAAGTTTTCTTATTTTAAAAGTAAAGATATTGGGGGTGCAGAACCAGAGCTGCGTCACTCTGGTCACTGACTTTGTGACTCTTGCATGCACAGAGCCCGCCCCGGTCCCACCCATCCCCAATGAGCAGCAGCTGGCCCGGCTCACGGACTACGTGGCTTTCCTCGAGAACTGACGCCTCCTGGCCACACTCCACCTCAGAGCCCTGTTTCCCAGCGGACGTCCTTTGTATTTTCAGTTTATCGGGTGGATTGCACACCTCAGCATCCGTACTATGTGATAAAATGCAGCTGTAACGTAAAGCGTATTGTATGTACTTGTCCCTAGACACCGTGCTGAGTGGCTGTGAGACGGTTCTCCTTTGGTAGCTGATAGTTGGATGTGGCCATCAGGGCGATGGAGTCTAAGTGTGTTCCCAGGACTTGTAGTTGCGACTCGCCTGCCCCGTGCAGCACAGCCTGGCGACCCTCTGTCCCTCCCACACCTGGTGCTCCCATCTGGGGTTTGAGGAGGGCTGTCCCTGGGGCATGTCTGAATGGGGGGTGATCCCGATGTACCCCCTTTGGAGACTACGCTCTCTTTTCTCCTCCACTCCCGTGAGCCACTGATACAGGATGCTGAGATCTAGCTGGGGAACTAAAGGTGTTTCCTAGTGAACCGGATCGTTGACTTGAGGATCTTCTCTGAGGTGAGGGTGTCCATTGCTGGCCTGGAGGCCTTGCCCTGAAAAGGGGCCTGATTTAAGATGTTCAGGAAGTGTTACGTCGGACTGTTTCTTCTCAGAAGAGGGAGCCTGCGTGCGGGAGGCACTGTGCGGAGGAAGCTATTGAGAGAAGTGACTCTGCTCCACCGTCCTCAGCCTGCCAGGTGCTGGTTCATCCCCTGGCTCAGTTCTGCCTTTTGAGAAATACTGAACGCGTCTCATTCCTGTGTGACAGCCTCTGGGTGTTTGAAGTTGTTTATTGTATCTTCAGGTTAAAACCGCCCCACGTTCATTTATTTTGCATTTGTTCAATAAATATTTAAAATATTTAATTGATTTCTTAATCTGTTTCATCTAAGGCAGTTTCTAGCACTTTACGGTTCTGGTTTTCTGTTGACATTTTAGTTTGTCGCTGTCTCTTAAAATAAGAGTTTCTTAATTAAATAGAAAAGACCTTTACAGTGGCAATTACGTGATCCCCGTTTCCACTCATTTTAAGAGGTCTGTTCACAGAACGTTCGCTTTGCGCCCAAGGCCATAAGAACAGGGCTCATCCTTAGGTTCTTTAGGTCAAACTAAGAGCCACGTTGACGGGCCAGGTGGTCACAGCTCCTAAAACAAGGCTCCACCCCTGGGGAGCCATTGACAGCAAGGCTATGAAAGACACTGCTAGCAGGATTGCAATCATTTTGTCGTTTCCTAAGTTTGATAAATCACCTTTTAACAGGTGCTGTAGAAGGAGTGTGGCGAGGAGGGCCTGTCGGTATGGGAAGGAGAGATGGGTGGGGGTGATGGTCGTCTACAGACATCGGGCTGTCGTCTGGCAGGGTTGTGTCCAAACTCAAGTGAAGCTTAGGAAAGACCGGTTTTGACTCAAAACACAGACCTTTTCAACTGGATACCAGCCCTGTCCAACAGAAATAGAAGGTGTCACAGGGCATCTTAAGTTTTCTAATGCCCACAACAAAAAACTGAAAAAGGGAAAAATGAAATTAACTTGAATGTATTGTTCAGCCCAGTCCACAGTACCATCGGCTCAATGTGCCGCCAACACCAGAGAGATGAGTGAGCTCTCACATTCTTTCCTCGCGCCAAGTCTGTGCAGTCGTCCCACGTGGGTCTCCCTCCCAGCATGGCTCCGTTGGGACCCAGCCACCTGTGACCAGTGCATGGGACACAGCGAGAGGCCTCACAGTCGGACCCTGGAACCAAGTTCATAACCTCTCACCAGGGACCTCTGGAGAACGTCCGGCACCAGCCACATGAGGGACAGTTCCCTGGTCTCCGCCTCCCCTCGGTTGCTCAGAACAGCTGACAGGGTCCGCGCCCCTCACCCCGCCTCTGTCCATATTAATCATGGCAGCAAAGGCTGAAGTGCCCCCCGGAGATGAGCAGTTGCCCAGTAGTCTCAGCCATCAGTGTTGGGGGGATTTGAAAACAAGCTGCAGTTAAACTGCATTGAAATGCGCGGAGGAGGCGTCTGTTAACTCGGCTGGGGCAGCTCACGGACTGGACTGTCTGTCCTTAGCGTGCGCCGTGCCTGGGCTTCCTCCCCGGGAGCCTCGACAGCCCTGCAGCTGGCGGCGGGAGATGGCGGTTTGCTGCTGATGGAGTTAATGGCCGTGGAGAACCTCATCTTTTTTTGTGGTTAATCAGAGTACTAATCTTCCCCTGGTGGTGCTTCTCTGAGGGAAGGAGGCTTTCAGAGTGTAGTGGGAGAGGCAGAAAAGTTCTACCTAATACCTAAGGACAGGCCAAAGCCAGGTGCTGACCGTGACCTGGGTCAGCTGAGAGGGCGGGAGCCAGGATTGCTCAGGCAGCTCTTCAAGGAACCGGGGAACCTCTGTGATCGTGCCGAGCGCCCACCTGAGCAGGGCTGTGGTCCTGACTTGAGTGAGTCACCGTTGCCTCCTGGGTGGGGCTGGAGGGAAGAGCTGCCTCTGAACCAAGGAACCCGGCCACTTTCCACTGTGAGTCACATGACGGGGGCTCGCCAGAAACTGGCGTTGATTAACCCTGTTCTCGTGATCTGAGCACCTGCGCCCAGCCCCTGGGAGGGGCAGCCCAGGACCGCCGGCGAGGTCCATAGGGTGATACCCGCCCATCTCGGGGCCCTGTGTCCCTTAGATAACAGGATTGAAAAACAGTCGGGGTGCTGGTGAGGCTGGCGGTGAGTGATGTCCAAGGAGAGAGGCCCAAGAAGCCCCAGCTCCCTCTGGCAGCCGGATGCCTGTTGGATGCCGCCTGCAATCCAGGTTCCAGCAGACGCACGGGACTGGGGCCCACTGCCCTGCAGCAGAGACTGGGTGGAAATGCGGGACTGTGTCCTTGTGGCTTCAGTTCTGCCTGAGGCCGGCGCTTCACCGTCTCCTGCATCGGCCTGCGGGATCCGGGCTACATACTTGTTCCGGCCTGTGCCTCAGTTCTCCTCCCTCCTCTGTCCCAGGCGAGAAGGACCCTGCGTTTCTCTCCCACCCCTTCCCCTTCCGCACTCCAAGTCCTGCTGCCCAAGAAAGGCCTGGAAGGAGCCCAGCTGCTCCAAGTGATTAAGTAAACAGGAGGCTGTGACTCATGGCTGCATGAGGCCTGGAAGGGGAGCAGGGGAGCCAAGTGCCAAAGCCTTGATGTGGCGCTTCCTCCTCGGACGGGAGCGGGATGGGGACACTGCTCAGGGTGGGAAGCAAGGAGTGTTGGGTGTGTGAGAGAGAGATGGTCTGTGGGGGTGAGTGTGAGACTTAGGGAGCGTGTGTGTGTGAGTCTGAGTGTGTGTGTGTCTGTGTGAGAGTCTGTGTGCACATGCACAGGGCCTTCCCTCCATTTCCCCCTCCCTTACCTTCCCCAAAATTGCTTTCTCAGGGCCAGGTCTTGCAACAAGGCTCTTTTCACTGCCACCTGACCCAGGTCAGTCCTAGGATATTGGTTGTCATGCCCCCCCCACCCAGGGTGTCTGGTAAAGTCACCTTGGATGATGGGAGCAGTTACCTGAAGGCCAGCCTGGGATCCCAGCCTCACCTGCCCTAGCTGCTCAGCCGGAACACAGCCCCACCCCCCCCACCCCCATTATAAAGCAAATCCAAAGACATTCCCTGACCATTTGTCTAAAACCTTGGATTTTGTCTCCCTTGTTAAGGATGACACCCTAAATCAGTGGTTCTCACCCTGGAGCAGTTTTCTCCCCAAGGTTCATTGGCACTGTCTGGAGATATTTTCGGTTGTCACAATTGGAGATGGAAGGTGCAGAGGCCAGGAGGCGGTTAAACTCTAGTACAGGGGACAGTCCCCGCCACAAAGAATGACCTGGCTCAGAATGTCAACAGGGCAATTCCTGTCTGCCCGCTGGTCCCCTGGCATGAAGGACCCAAAATGAGATAGTCCCAGCTTCAGTGGCACTGTCCAGTGCCCCCTAGTGGGAGCCCCTGTGATCCAGTTGCAACTCCAGTTTAAATGACACAGGTCCCCTGGGGTGGCGGTGAGAAGTGCTGCTGGGACCCAGCACGGATTTCAGCTGCAGGCTTGGCCCATATGCGGCAGCCTGGGGGACAGGGCCCTGCCTGGTCCACTGCCCTTTATTAAACTCTCTCACCTCACCCCACTCCAGATTGGTATGTGTTTCCTTCTGGGGCCCTGGCTGGCCCTACACCAACGTTCTTACCCAGGTTCCCCGCGCACAGAGCCCCACACGTTTCTGGTAAGCAGCAGGAAGAGCCCAGGTCTGGGGTTCCAAACCTTTGGTTCAAGGGTTTCTGTTCAACTTAACCTGTCCTCTGAGTGGTTGTACCATCGACACTCCCGTAAGCGGTGTATGAAAGTCACAGGTGTTCCACATTCTTGCCAACACTTAGTAGTGTCTATTTTAAATTTTTTATTGTTTTAATCCTTCTGATGTATTTTTGCTACTCGAATGACTGATGCAGTCGAGCATCTTTTCATAGGCTTATTAGTCATTGGATGTCATTGTTTGCAATTTTTTGTCCATTTTATTATTGGGTGGGTGTTACTGTTTTACTGTTACTGGTTTTTAGGAGCTCTGCATGTGTTCTAGAGGTGGGCCTCTGCCCGACACGCGTGGTGCAAGTCTGTTCCGTGCCGGGGTCGCCTTTCACTCTGGCGTCCTGAGTCTCAGCGTTGGTACCCTGACGTGTCTGGTCACTGCTCTTCTGGTTTATTTCCACTGATCCTTGGGAGTGTTGTGTTTTTTTCCTTGGATTTATTTTTTATTTTGCTGAATTTTATCCCTAAGCACATTTTTTGCTCCCAAAAGGACCTGCAGGAGACAATATTCTAATTGCTTGAATGTCAGCAGGTCTTTATTTTGCCTCCGGCCTCTGTTGGTAGTTGCGCTGGGTGGAAAATACTGAGAATTCTCTCTCCCCCCAAGCGCCGTGACGAGGGACTATCTCCTCAAGTCCCACTCTGAATATGTATCTCAAATTTCTTAACTTGGGTTCTTTCTGTTTTTTACATTTTCTCCCATTTCTGGAAATACCTCTGTTTTCTAGAGGTTTGGTTTCCCTGAACGGGCCCACTGGTCTCCATCTTCTCACCTGCGGAAACTGGCAAGTTTTCGATGCTTTCGAGCCTTACAGAAGGAGATCAGTCCCAGGTCTTAAAAAGGGTGGGATTTACACTTTGTGACTTCTTTCTGGTGGATACAGTGGGATCTGCTGTGGCCACCTCAGCCAGCTGGGGGCACGGAGCCTTCCTCTCCCAGGGCCGGCCGACAGACGTCAGCACAACAGACGCGGCAGAATTTCCTGCTCTGCTCCCAGAGCCCCCTCCCCGCCTCTCTCTGGGTGGTCACCTAGGGTGAGGGGACCCCAGAGGGGCTGCCGCAGGACTGAAATTCATCGGCAGCCCCTCAGGGAGGGCCAGTGGCGGGATGGGCACGTCTCCCTTAATTCATTTCTTCCTGGTGCCATTTCTTACTGTAAATCATCGGAAATTTAGGAGCTCAGTTGGCGCCTTTTCCCAGTTCCCAGGAATCATGAACAATTTTCCCTGTACTCTGTTGGATCATTTGGGGGATTTGGTTGAGTAATGGACACGAAAGCTACAAAAGGTTAGAGTGTCACCCTGAGCGGAGCGCTGGCGGCGGCTGTGAGGGAGGGCGCCTGCAGGCCGGGTGCAGGCCAGGCCGAGTTCAGGGGTGGGAGGAAATGCGACCGAAGCCCAACCTTTGGCCGGGGCTCGTCCTGGGGTAAAGCCCACAGCCGGGGGAGGGTCTCCCTCGGGAGCTCTCTGGCATCGTGGGTAATCCGCGTCCTCCCCAGCCCTGGCCGTCCCTGGCTTACGCACCCGTGAAGCTGGCGCCGCCCGGAGCGGGAAGGGCGCGCTGA